TTGATCATGTGCTATTATTACTTATGAACGGGGCTATCGTATTGCAATTATCGTACAATTTCTTGACTCCCTAATTGTAACTTTTGCTCTCACTCTTTCACACTGTTTGTTAGTCGGACAATACTGTTGTTGAATAATTAATAGGTGACTCGTGCTATACATAAAAATTTATTTTTAAAATAAAAAATTAATTTTGAGTTTTAGTATTTTATATGTAGAAGATTTTAATAATTGAAAGTTAAATAAAAATAAATTTGCTAATAGCTAATGAAAATGTGTCATTGCGTGTGATTTTACGTAAAAGACTCCTAAAAACAATTCAGATATTCAAATAAAAAAAAGTATATTCTCAACCTGAAATCAAATCATTATTTGTGTTAATTAAATTAACAAAAATCATAAATTCCACCTATATCAAAATATATATTTTTCTAAAAAAATAAAAATAATGAAAAATTCTATAATATACAAATTTTGACTTGGTTATAATTCATTGTGTATTATTTTAGTTATTAATCAAAATGATCTTACTAATTTCTTATGTTTTTTGTTAGTGGTGCATCGGATCATTAATTATGCTTTAAGGCATAGTTTGGGAAGTTGGTTTTGGTGGGTTAGGGCCTAAAATAGTCACAAAAAATAAAACATCAAATTCAACTCATAATCATTACACTCATGTCTCACAAAAAAAGTTAAAAAAACCAAAAAGTCAAAAAACTCTTCCCAAACCAGGCTTTTTAACCCCAGGCTAAAATAGCTAAAAAGCCAAAAAGCCAACCCACTTCCCAAACAGAGGCTAAGTGGTGTTTGATTATGATCTATTATAATACTTTTATATGACAATATTTAAATATTTTATTACATGAAAAAAGTGCTTAAGGTCGGTTGACTCAAATGTAGAATTTATGCTTATATCAGTGAGATCGTAAGAGTTATTCACATTGATGCATAAAAAATTATAAATTCAAATCATAAACAGTGTACTCAAAGAAATTAAGTACAAAATCACTATAACCTTAATAATTTCAGTTCTAAAAAATGTTCTAATTAATTATGTGACATATCATAATAACTGTAAATTTTTTATTCCTGTCAAATTATTTTTGCATATCTTTTTTGGCAGAGCTCATGACGGTACATTATCAGTAATATTATAAATTCAAAAATTTTTATTTAAAAATTATTAAAGAAACATCAATATATTGGTGCCATAAATATACATAATCATTTTTTTTATAAATCATTATTATTTAAAATAATATTCCACACCATTTATCACTTGGCATTAGCCAATTTATCTTTTAAAAACTTAACAAAAAAAATAATGAGTTCCATTATTTTAATCTATCAATATCAAATTAGACGCTACACATGTCTGTAAATCACTTTTACAAATATGATGCTTGACATAAAATCATAATGGAGTTAATTTGAATTAATGTAATGATATTTTATATTATGATATGTGTTATGAGAAAATAATATTAATTTTAATTTAAAATAAAATTATTTATTTTAATAATGTTAGCCTTATCATTATATAAAAGTGTTATTTGAATATTTAATATATATTAATTCTGGTTAAATTATTTGTGTATTTTGATAATTTTAATTATATCGTATTATAAAAGTGTAATTATCATATAATAATTTTGTATGATATATATTAAATTATAAAATAGTAAAATAAATACACATTTTGATATTAAAATAATAGTTAAATTAGAAAGATAATTAGTAATATAAAAGTAAAATTGATTCTAATTATTTAATTTTTTTTTATTTTTATATTTATTTGGATAATAAAAATATGTACAAATAGAATTACACAAAATTTCTTCAAAAGATTAAATATAAGGGTAAATTACAAATACACCCCCTGAAGTTTACTTAAATTATAAATTACCTCATGTGGTTTTAAAGATTACGTTATGCCTCCTAAGGTTTCTAATTTCATAACAAATATGTCTTTTTATTAATAAATCATCAAGTTAATTAACAGTTTTTAATAATATTAAAATTTTATTTCAATTAGTAATTCAGATAATTTTATTATTGTATAGGTGAACAGCTAGAAATTTTATTTTTTCAATTATATCTGTTGAATAAAAAATTCTGATAGGGAGGTATTTATAATTTTTCAAATCACAGGGGCAATTCATATTTTAAGCAAACCTCAGAAGATGTATTTGTAATTTACCATAAATATAAATATGTTGTGATTGAATTAAGAATAAAATATATAAATTAATTATATAGACTATTAATTTTTTCTTTAATATTCTATTTGCATTATTCATACATATTGTTTATAGGTATATAAAATTTAAATTAAATATAAATATTTTGTAATAAATAATTTCATGCTAAATAAAAAATTAAATATAAATTAATATTAAGACATCAATAAGATAGATAAAAAAATAAAATATAAAAGAAAATTAATTTGATTAATGCGATGCACATAATTAAACACATTTTATTTATTTATTTATTTGTATGTCGAGATAATTTTTTTCGAATATCATAATAATTAAATTATAATTATATATATGAAAAATAAGTATTTCTCAAATAGAATCTATACAAAATTAGTTATTATAATTAAAATTAAGTTTGTGTAGAACTTTATATGTAAATATAAAATACATTAGTGATGTAACTTTTTAAGGGAAAAAAAATAGACTTTATAATGTGTATTTATATGAAAAATAAGTATTTTTCAAATAGACTTCATGTAAAATTGATTATTATAATTAAAATTGAGTTTGTATAGAACTTTATATGTAAATAGAAAATGCATGGTAGAGTTATATATCTGGCTAACATGAAGTGTATTGCGAATTTTCATTAATTAGGAGTTAGGGGCTGGCCTAATACGAATTACATGCGTCTATCTCAAAAAAAATTTACGTCTTCAATAGTGTAATTTCAAATTTGTTTAACCCAAATTAAATTTAGACAACGCTTGGGCATGAGTTTTCATAAATCAAGCAACCTGACTCATATGAATTCTATTGTTTATGTGAATTATATATAATCAAATAAGAGGTTATTTTCTTAGCTTAAATTCAGCTTAGAATTTGAGTTAAATTCGGGTATGAGCTTTGGGCGCAAAAAAAAAAAAAAAAAAAAATCAAATGTCGAGCTTCGACCTCAGCTTGGACAAATCACTATACACTTCGAGTTGAACTCGTATAGACTCTCTCAACCCTCTCAAACCTGCTAGAGTTATAGCCCTATCAAAATACACGTTGACAACATCACATGATATTCTAAGATTATTTTATATTTTTTTTTAAAAAAAATTTCAAAATTATCTATTCATGTCTCATTTAAAAATTGACTATTTTTATTGATTTTTTGCTTTTTTATAAAAAATAAAAAGAATGATATAATAATTTATAATAGATTTTTATTTTTTATTTTTGTTAAAAACCAAAGTCTCCAAATGGGATCTCAAAATAAAGAAGGGCAAATTACATATACCTCTCTCGAGGTTTAGTTAAATTACAGATACGCCTTGAGATTTCAGAAATTACAGATACCCCTGAGGTTTATATTTTCATAACAAGTTGTCCCCTGAGGTTTATATTTTCATAACAATTTGTCCCCTAATTTGTTATGCAAATAATACCTTTAGGGGTATCTGTAATTTCGCAAACCTCAAAGGTGTCTGTAATTTTGCTAAACCTCGAGGGGGTATATGTAATTTGCCCAATAAAGAATAATAAATCCGTGCTGCCGAAGGGAGCATCTAATTACACACACCAAATACCCTCTTCGTACATCCTTCTCACTACACACACCAAAAAAATTAATTCCTCATTAATTTACTCACTACACACATGGTTCATTCCACATTTGCCCTCATACATACACACACACCCCCCCGACCCCAAACCCAAACCCAGCTCTCCCAACGGTGCAAATACACACACTCATTGAAGCTGAAGCTACATCTTCAACCTTGAGGATGCACACACCCATTGAAGCTTACCGTGTGCAAATACACACACCCATAGTAGAAGCTTCACACAGCTTTCATCCCCAAAGCTACATCCCATTGAAGCATTCCAACACATTTTCAATCCTCATTAGGTGAGTTTACTTTTGAATCATCATTTCTATTTAATTTGTAACGTAGAGTTTTGTTTTTATCATTTTGAAAACGAACGAAGGCCCACGGAGTGTAAACAAACCGTTCAGAACTAGTTTTCCCAAATTAAGGAATTTGTTCGGAAGTAGAAATCCGAAATTGGTGATTTATTTCAACAGTAGGTTTCCGAAACTTTTTGATTATTTCGGCAGTCAACCAAAATTAATTTTTTGTTTCGGATTCAACTTTCGAACAGTATATATACTTTCAATTTTAAACTTCCGAACATTGTTTTTTTTTTCTTTCTCCCTTCTTTTGTATATTCTTTTTACATTTGTGGTAATCTCTTATTGAGTGATAAATAATTTGAGAAAATGCATTAAAATTTTAATTATTGTAACATAATTTATACCTATATGAATCAATCACTACATATTGTATTTGAGATCACCTTTTCAAAACTTGTTTGAGCTTAATGGGTACTAACATGGAATTGAAAAATGGTATAGCTTTGTTTGGGGATAGAATTGGGGAACAAGACCATTAGTAATGCACTAGGATCGATTATTTTTTTTTTAATTTTATTTTTAACAATGTGATACTTAATATGTTTATAATTATATATATTATCAGATTATTATGGTATTATGTTTGATCAAGATGATGGTCATCAAACATATTAATTTTTGCAGAAAATATGGATTTTGAATATCAACAACGTGTCCCACCTACTGCTTCAAATAGACGACGTCGTGAATTAGATGTTGACCATGAACGGGGACAAGGGCGTGGGCGTGGGCGAGGCCGAGGTCGAGGTCGTGATCTAGTTTTGGTAGAATATGATATCCCCAGTGATAGTCAAAGCCGAAGCCGAAGCCAAAGATGAGTTCAAGGTGATGATATGCCTGACATTGCTGTGGAGGACGCCTCTTTACCCGATTCTCCTATTGTCCAAGAAGAGTACCTTACTCATGCTTTTCTAGGTGGACCGACTGATCCATCAATACTGCGGAGTTTCAATAGTCATGTCGCTGCAGGTATTTGGCACGGGGAGGTAAACATTCCTCAGTAGAAGTGAAATTCATCTGTATATGAGTTTTTTTTTTTTTTTTTTTGTATGGTAGTTTCTAATGAGATATCATTTGTGTTATAGGAACGAGGGCCCCTAAAGTGTCATAATCACTCTTCGAAGATCCTTGCATGACCATGGTGGTCAGTAGACAACAACACTAGATTCAAAGCCATTATTGAGCAGTCTGGGCTGTCACAGTTAGCTCATTGCACTTATTGGTTCGTCAACAAGCTTCTAATCTCCAGTTTTGTTGAGAGATGGCAACCTGAGACGAACACATTTCACATGACAGTTGGTGAGATTACCTTGACCTTGGATGATGTTGGCACTATTCTTGGCCTTCCCATTGTAGGCAAATCAGTCAGCGTACCAGATGTGACAGATCATCATAGAGTTACACTACTCGTTTATGGCTTGGGGATTACTGAACGTGCAGCACATGAAGAGGTTTCTACTGCTGGTGGCAGTTCAGTCAGGCTTGAGTGGTTGCAAAGTCAGTTTGCTGGTTTCACAGATTAGACCCCGAGGAGGCTATACAGTGCGCTGCTAGAGCTTATTTGTTGTTTCTGTTGGGATGTACACTCTTCAATGACAAGAGTGGCGGCAGGGTTCCTGTTGTTTACCTTGGCTTATTGATGGATTTGGGATCCATTCATACTAACGCCTGGGGTGCTGCTGCATAAGCATTTTTATACAGACAGTTGTGGTATGCTAGCCGGTCCAGGGTTAAGCAGATGGGTGGTTATATGACTCTTTTGGAGGCGTGGATTTATGAGCACTTTCGAGCATTCCAACCTCTTCAGAACATGGGCTACAATGAAGACATGCCACACGTGTACCATTGGACATCTAGGAAAGAGGCGAGTTCCTCCATTGATCATTTGAAATCTTTTCGAGCCGAGCTTGACAGTTTGGTAGCTACTGATGTAAGTTTACTCATCCTTAGATAATTTTAACACTTTTCATTTATCTTACCCTTTATATACTTTAATTCAAAAACACTTTACGTTTACAGGTTATTTGGGATCCATACCACAGCTGCAGAGACCGGCATCCATGTAACCCGATTACGTTCTACCACGGATGCTTAAAGTGCTTAGACTTTGTCGAACCCTATCATCCAGATAGAGTTCTGAGGCAGTTTGGCAAGGTTCAAACCATCCTAGATGCACCGCTAGCTCCCACTCGTAGTGCTTGAGGCAACATATCTGCACGATAAACAGTCATGTATAGATACTTGGATAGGATCTGGGAGGCTTGGGATAACCACGTGTTATCTGAGCAACGGAGGAGCACACCAATTCATCATCCGTGGGAATGTGTACCGGGTTACATGAATTGGTATAAGAATATCACCCACTTATATGTTGAGCACACTGATGAACTGCGTGTCCATGACCATTAGGATTTCAGCCAACATGCCGATGTAATATATTATCCTCTTTTATGCATTTGTAACATACTTTTTATTTTCTGATATGTTCCATAAAATGTGATATTCTTTCAAATGCAGCGTATTGCACATGCACTGCAGATTTCATATCCTATTATTGACGCTGGTTATGAGGAGGGGATTCGACATCCTTATCGACTTTACCAGGCTATCGAGAGTATGACGCATGTCCTTGAAGGTCAGCACATTGACAAAGCTGGACCTAGTTCTGCTGGACCTAGTTATACTGGAGGTCGCTTTCCATCTTCGACATTGACATACAGTCGTAGGCCTAGGCGTAGGCATACAGCTGATTCGTGACATGTTATTTGTTAGTTGGTGGATTTTTTTTGGTGTTTTTTGTAAGATGATATTGTTGTAATGGTAACAGTGGTTAATATTTTCTTATTAGAATAGAATGGCAACAATGGTATTGTAATGACATTGTAATGACATTTTATTATTAGAATGGAATGGTAACAATGGTCGTTTATTTTGTAAATGATATTTTCTTATTACAATAGAATGGTAACAATGGTCGATAACATTCAATCCAGATTGCAAAACAGAACACATCAACATCAAAAACACATCCATTAATTTGTTCCATAATTCTAACATTGTCAAATGCATACATGTGTCATGCAACATCAATAACATCAAAAGTCTCTCGAGTAGCTACATTATCATGAATAATGTCCTTGAAATGTTGAATGCGATGCAAATATGCACCATCCCAGTCGACAGCGCAAGGGTGACGGTATTTTCGCCAATTAGTGGCTATAGGAGGAACTGGATAGCCTGGCTGCAACAAAACCTGCACCAAATATCAATTGAGTTAGTGGTCATACCTCATAACTTCTTGTACATGCACAAACCCAATTTATAAGTTTCTGTTATACCTGGACGAAATGATTTCCGTTGACAAACCCAATGGCAATCTTACGTCTATCAAGTTTAGGTACTGGCACTGTTCGAAGAGGTAAAAAGGTGAGACATTGCTGTAATGACAAGTGGTATAACACAAGATTGTGGCATGATGCAACAAGATGCCCCATGTCTGGCATAGTCATCCAATGTGAGTATCTAGGACTGTCTTCAAAGTATGACAATATGCTTGTCAATTCTTCAAACCTTTCATAGGACCCATAAAGTGTAATGTATTGCTCTTTGTGTGTGTGCAGATCACCCAACAGATCACGCCTAACCTGAGCCCAATCATCTTCTGTGTGACCAATTGAAGCAGCTATAGCCTTGAAACCACAATTCCCATCTGCAACTACATCCTTGACAAACTTAATGTATGGTTTCAACCCAGAAGGGAAAGCATCAACATATGCACTAGGTTTCACTATTCTAGTAATGTATACCTTCCCTTTCGGATTCACCTTCCCCTTTCCCTTAACAGGTTGCTTCTTCTTGGTTTGCAGAGTAGAAGCTAATGTAGTGATTTGAGTGTCCCTAGGTGAGAAGGAATCATGTCCAGATTGCACCAACTCAAATACACACGGGTCACGACAGGTAGAAACATTGATCTTCTTATGATCCCGAGGACGTGTTTTGGGCTTCACCTCCGGCTCAACAAGAAAAGTGCTTCCCGGATATACAATCTCTTTCAACTTCTTCAAAAGCTCCAACCGCATGGTTCTATCACTTTCATTAAACTTGTTCACAAACAACTCTACTTTTGCATGACAAGTCACCTCTGTTTCGTCTTCTTTGTTGCATATGGAGATATGAAGTTGCCTCCACTGTGAGTGTATGGTAGCAAGTGGTATAGGACGATCTTGTCTGATGTAGTCAGCAATCTCATGGGCACAAGGTAAACCATGAGTGTGGCGAAGGACGCATCCACAAGCTTCAACATCAATACCAATGGAATTGGCTCTCTTACTCTCTACAAGCAAATACTCCAATGCAGAGATAGACACATTACCCCGTAGTTCCCTGAACTGAGAAGGTTTAAATTGATGTTGCACAACAGTTAGACTTTTCTCAAATGAAGTCTTGATATCAGTGTGTTACAACTCAAGAAGACTGTGTATTTTCTCAAATGATGCCTGAAATGAGACTTGACATGAACCCAATTGTCTTTTAAGTTTTGCATGTGCACTCTCAGCCCTGTTCAATTCAATGTAAGTCAAATTAAAATCAAGTACACGACACTTATTAATAACATATTGAAGAAAAGTAATCTTACCGGTTCGTTGTAACATTGCCACAATGCATACACGTGTCTGTCCATGCCGCCACAAATTTGTCCTTGTAAGAAACCAACCAAGTATCCATGACGTACTTGACTGCATAGGATAACTACTGAATTCCTTAATTAATAATTTAAGATGCTCATCGTATTGAATTTCAGAAGATGAATACACTAAAGAGTTCCACTCATGGTTGAACTTCTCCCATTTCTGCTGTGTCTCAAACATTTTCTTGCATTTGGTCAATACATTCTTACTGATATGCCAACGACATAATAAATGTCTGCCACTCGGGAAAATCTTCTGTATGGCATTCATCAAGGCTAGCTCTCTGTCAGTAACAATAATTGTTGGCACGACAAAACCATCCATGACATCACGCAATGTAGCTAACACCCACGCATAGTTATCGATCCTCTCATACTGTAAGTATGCGAAAGCTACAGAGAATGTCATTTCAGTTGATGTCACTCCCACAATTTCAAGAAGAGGAAGACGATATCTATTGGTTTTATATGTGCAATCCATAATTAATATACATGGGAAAGACTGAAATAAGTCCAAATTGGTAGGATGTGCCTAAAACAAGTCTGTCACAGTCATCGTGGACTCTTCAAACCGATGGCACTCAATGTAATTATACTTGACCAATTTACCCAATAAGTGTTGCATCTGTGATCTCCCAACTCTCTGTACCATCCTATTTCGATGGCGTACATTGTAAATGGTTTTAAGTGTACTTACATTGAGGGCATCTCGCTGTTTCAAGGTTACTAGGATTTCTTTTGGCCGAACCATGCTCTTTGACATATCTATTAACAATGCTTTCTCATCCTTTGATAGCCTCCCCGCATATGAATGTCCCTCAAGGTGCTCCGCAGGTGGATGATTATGCAATCCGCATACTACGGTCAATGTTCATTTGTCACAACCCGAACCCGCCCCCATGGGTTAAGGACGTAACCAGCCAGTAATCCTGAGATTACCTACGGCCTCAAACCAAAACAGACTTAACACATCAGAGTAAAGGGGGCCAAAAGGGAAGCAAAATTTAAAACTTTGTCCATAGAGCTGTGCTTACATGGCATATCAAAACAAACCATACATATGTACGTTAATAACTCACAACAGAAACATAGTGACATAGGTTCTGTACAGACAGGATCATCGAAAACTAAGTCAACCCATAAAAACTATAAGCAGACATATACAAAACTTCGCCAACATGACAACATAGAACAAAATGACAAAAAGGCGAAGGCGGGTCTCGTGCGTGAGACACAAGGGCTGACTTTTCCAAAACCTCTGTTGTTCCACATAGACCTCACTGGGGCTGGGTTTGGACTTCTCTGGGCTCACCTACAAATACATGAATGAGTGTGAGCGATAGCCCAGTGAATAATATTAAATACGGAATATACATTGGAACAATATACATCAAACGGCCTTGGGCCCAATTTACATTTTAACTAGTATATACATACATGGATACGTGTAAGTTAGGTAACTAAGGTTCCAAACACATCATACGGCCTCGGGCCCAATTCATTCGTTTCATTGTCAAAACTCGTGTCAAATTGGCCTTCAGCCTTTTTAAACTTTCATATCAAACTGGCCCTTAGGCCTATTTACACTTTCGTGTCGAAACGAACTCTGGCCCATTCATTCATGTCTTGTCAAAACGACCTTCGGTCCATTCATTATGTCAAAACGACCTTTGGTCCATTCAGTTGTGCCAAAATGACCTTCGGTCCATTCATTTATGTCAAAACGACCTTCGGTCCATTCATTTGTGTCAAAACGACCTTCGGTCCATTCATTTATGTCAAAACAACCTTCAGTCCATTCATTTGTGCCAAAACGACCTTCGGTCCATTCGTTTGTGTCAAAACGACCTTCGGTCCATTCGTTTGTGTCAAAACGGCCTTCGGCCCAATCATTCATGTCAAAACGGCCTTCGGCCCATTTATTTCTATCGAAATGACCTTCGGTCCATTCATTTCTGTCAAAACGACCTTCGGTCCATTCTCTTACGTCAAAACGGCCTTCGGCCCATATATTCGTGTCAAAACGGCCTTCGGCCCACTCATTCATTTCAAAATGACCTTAGGTCCATTTATTTCTATCAAAACGACCTTAGGTCCATTTATTCATATCGAAACGACCTTCGGTCCATTCATTCGTTCATGTCAGACTTTTGTCCATAATCCCAATTAGCAACTCATAAAGCTTATAAGGGAATAAACAGTTGGACATTGCTAAACTTTCAAATATCAATATTACTCATAGTGATCGGCTTGTGGATTCGCCCTGCAACTTGACCCTACACATTCCATGAACACAAAAGGGGTCACTAACAGTTCAATCCGTTCTTTGATTCACATATTCCTCTTTAGGCTTTATTCTTATCTCATTAACTCATTTACAATGCTTAACACATGCCTAAGAGCGCTTACAAGTGAAAGAGAAAGGAAAACGAAACACAGAACGAGCATATAAAATTTCAGAGAATAGGGTCCCCGCTCGAGCGTAGACTTCCCCGCTCGAGCGGACCCTATAGGCCTGCAAAAGTGCTGGTTGCATCAAAAATACGCTCGAGCGTGAAATAGGATGCTCGAGCGGAAGGCCTGTCAAAATAGCTCCCACGCTCGAGCGTTAATTACACCACTCGAGCGGACATCAAGTCTGCAAAAAGTACTGGGAGCACGCATTTCCCGCTCGAGCGTCAGGTTCCCCGCTCGAGCGGACCTCAAAATTCTGGAAAACCCAGGACTGTGTTCTTGAGCTCCAATTCAATTTTCAACCAACAAAACATGCATGTTATGGCTCAAATCTCAAATATAATTATACTAACATGATGTAAACCTTAAATCACAACCCAATGAAGCTCAATTCACAAATAATTCACATGTATACCCCAAAATATGTCAAACTCATCACCAACATGCTCAAATTCAAACATTCAAGATTCACTCTCCCATAATTTGTACATGCATGTGGGAGATGCTCACCATTCTCAACTTAGATAGCACAAATGATGATTATAACATGAGCTTCAATTAAAATTGTGCATGGATTATACATATTTGTGCTCAAACATGCAATTTAAGACAATTTCTTACATGCATGCACATTTTAGCCTTCAATTCAACAAAACCAATTCAATTTCATCATACTCAATTAAATTCATGTTCTTTATTCCTATTCAACTCTAAATTTACAAAATTACTCACCAAAGAGCTTTAATCTTCACAACTATGGTTGATTCTTAAGCTAGCCTTCAAGACTCCAAAGCTTCAAGAGCAAACTTAGATGATTTCCCCCTTTCTCTCTCAATTTTGGGTCTCTCTCACTCGCTCTAGAGAGTTTAATCAGCCAAAGCCACATAAGGGAAGGAGTTGAGGGTGTAATGCCCTTTTACATCAAACCCCACTCTTCCAAAATAATAATAATAAACAATTGGGCACTAAATTATCAGTTTAATCAACTTAATCTGACCCGAATCAATTTCTAATTAAATTTCACCGTAGGCTCTAAAAATTATGCCAAGCACAATGGCGCAATCAATTTCGGGTTCTGTGGCCGATAAGGCCTTCAATTTAATTCCCAAGGCAGATTATTCAACAGATATTCCTACGGTGAACAGATAGAACTTCAAAATCACATATATTCACATAATTGGCACACAAAATTATATCAAACACATAATCATATTTAAATTAAGGACTGATTAGCATATTACGGAACAGGGGTATCACACCATTCATCATGTGTGGTAAACCTGTGAGCCCTTATATCAAAAGGACAACCACACTTCTTCATACCGGTTATTCTTGATGTATTGTTGCCATCATGTTTTAACTTCTTTGTCGCTCTATATTGGCCACTCCTCTTAGAAGCAAGATACATCCTGGGTCTTTTTTTCCGTCCACCATAGTCTGATGTTTTGATTACAATGACCAAACCATTTCTCTTTCCAACTTCACGTACCCAGTTGAGCAATTCATCCTTACTTTTGAATACCTACAAAGTCAAATAAATATTATCAAAGATTTACATTTGGTGAGCAATTCGAAACATAATCATTATAATTTCGTAGAGTGAACCTGTTCAGTTGTGAATTGAGTAGTGTAATCCAACACAAAATCCGCGCAAACCTGACTTCCTTGAGTTGACACATATTCCTACATGTTTTGTATAACATTACAAATTTTTAATGGCATTATAAAGATTAATTTGCAATTCAAAACTGTAAATTTGGTATGTAGTTTGCAAATTTGGAATATAAAATGGGAAATTTTTTTTTACTTTATTCGGAAGTAGTTGTCCGAATTTATTTTCAAATTGCGGAAGTTGAATGTTGTAAAAGTTAACTTTGTTCGGACAACAACTTCCGAAATTTATTATTTTGTTCGGACAACAACTTCCGAAACTAAACACTTATTTCAGTAGTAGATTTCTGAACCAAACAATACAATTCGACTATGGTTATCCGAACGACGCTGAAAAAAAAAAAAAAAAGAAACTCACATTTCCTTTGCTATGTTTCTCATATACACTTATTGTTGATTTTCAGAAGGCAAATCCTCCATAACAATGATGTTTTCCCTACGAATGAGGAAAGTTGATGAATGAGTGCATTGAGAAGCTACGAACTTGGAGCTTAATGGAAGAAGTTACGAACTTGGAAGAAGATAGGAATGAGTGAAAACTCTGCTTTCACTTCTAGCTCAATGAAGCTACAAACTTGGACCCACGATGCAACAGATGTGAACTGGAGATGGATGTGTGCATTGAGATGTTTTGAATCAACAATGATGTCTAAAATAGTAATTTCACTTAGGGATAAAATTGTAATAAAATTAAATATCATTAAGTGTGTGTATAAAGGGGATTTGGTGTGTGTAGATAGAGCCTCCCGCTGCCAAATGGCTCAAAAATATGTTATGCCCTTGCTGTCTCGCACTTAGTAAGTAAAGTAAAAAAGAAACAAATGTATAACAATTAAAAAACAAAACACGTGAGAGAGGAGAGGACAGAAGAGAGCAAGAGAAACAGGAGAGCATAGTAGAGCTGCCACAGTAAAACATCTTCTCGGATGACCGACTTGGGTGTTCGCTGACAACTGACTTAGGTAAGCCGACAATGAAACATCTTCTCCGACGACGACCACCTATGTTTGAAATCCCTACCGCCGTGCATAGGAGATTAGGTTGGTTCCTCTTCTGATTTTTTTTTTTCATTTGTGATAGGTGCAAATCTATTGATTTTTGTGATGCATTTGAGATGTCTACAATGGTCTGGGTTTGTTTTTTTTTCCCGTTGATTGTATGGCCAATGTTTTGGTAGTGATGCATTTCAGGTGTTTGATGAAAGTCCACATAGAAAAATTGTAATTTTGTTAATGAAAATAGTAAATTCTAATGCATTCATGTATGAAGTGGGCATTCTAGGTTTTTGTATCAATTATGATGCATTCTAGGTTAATGAAAATAGTAAATTCTGATGCATTCGTGTATCAATTATTA